CTTTCTTTCTTCCTTTCTTTCTTCCTTTCTTTCTTTCTTTTTCTTTGTCAGTTGTGGGACTTGAATGTAGGACCTGGACACTGTCCCTTTATACTCAAGGTTAGCACTCTACCACTTGAGCCCCAGCTCCACCTCTGGTTTTCTGGTGGTTAACTGGAGATAAGAGTCTCACAGTCTTTCCTGTCCTAGCTGGCTTCCAACTGTGATCTTCAGATTTCAGCCTCCTGAATAGCAAGGATTTCAGGTGTGAACCACCTGGAACCATTTCTTGTTCCTCTCTCCCTTCCTCTCTCCTCCCTCCTTTCCTCCTTCCTTTCTTCTTTCTTTTCCTTTCCTTCTTCCTTTCGTCTTTCTTTTCCTTCTTTCTTCTTCTCTTCCTTCTTTTCTTTCCCCCCTCTTCCTCTCTTCCTCCCTTCCTCCTTCCCTCCTTCCTTCCTTTTTCCTTCTTTCCTTCCCTTTCCTTTCTCCCTCCTTCCCTTTCTCCTTCCTTCTCTTCCTGCTTCTTTCCTTCTCTCCTTCCCTCCCTCCTTCCTCTCTTCCTTCTTTCCTTCCTCTGTCTTCCCCTCCCTCCCTTCTTCCCTTCCGTCCTCTTTTCTCCCTCCCTCTTCCTCCATCCTTCCCTCCTTCCTTCCTGTCTTCTTTGTTTCCTTCCCTTTCCTTCCTTCCTATTCCTTTCTTATCTCTCTGTCTCCTTCTTTCCTTTCCCTCCCTCCCTCTCTCCCCCTTTCTTTTTTTACTCTCCCTCTTTCTTTACTTTCTTCTCTTCCCTCTCTTCCCTCCTTCCTCTCTCCTCTTTTTTCCTCTCTCCCCCCTCTTCTTACTATTTCCCTCTCTCCCTTTCTCTCGCTCCCCTTCCTCTCTCCCTCCCCCGACCTTGTGACAGGGTCTTGCTCTGTAGCCCAGGCTGGTTTAGGTGAAGAGTTCATTACATTTCAAGTGACCAATAGTTATTACGAGTAATTTATTTTTTGATGTATGCTCAAACTCATGCTCATCAGCCTCCTGCTTTGGCTTTACAGGTTCTGGAGTTACCGACAAGCCCCATCATGTCCAGCAAGGGTACATTATTTTTTACAACAAAAATAACTTATGACTTAGAAATGCATGCTAGGCATTCCTGAGAGTCAGGTTGTCATGAAGTGTCTAGAGACTTTTGACAGTTCAAGGCCACGTGCACATAGCCAAAGCGGACATTCCAGGACTAAAGATATTTTCTGCTCTGTTTCCCTGGGGCTATTATTCTGTCAGTAAAAATAGAAGGAGGAACCTAGAAATCTGGGTTTGGAGGCATCTAGATATAACTACAAGTGGACCACTCAGGTCTGTTGCGGTGTTCTAGAGGATTGCTTCCAGCCAGTGAGGCTAGTCCTAGATTTGAATTCCGTTTACATCTTCCATGCATTCTAACTTTCTCTACAAAATACATATGCAGAATGACTTCTCGATCATGGGTTGTTTGTTCTTTCCTTTCAATTCAGAGCTTTGATGTTTCCAACATCATCAGTGATGTGAACTCCCTGGAGCTGCGTTTCCAGTCAGCGGTCCGCTACGCAGAGCGGCAGAGCCAAGCTCATACCCGCTACCAGGTGCCCCCCGCGTGCCCTCCGCCTGTGCAGAAAGGCGAGTGCCACGTCAACTTTGTGCGAAAGGTAATGCTGCTCTTGCGACTGTATAGGCTCCTCTAGCCGTGAGCCCGGGGTGTACCTGCTCAGGCTAGGACGTGTTGGTTTGGACTCTCACACGCAGTACAGAATCTGCCTGGGCACTAGTGGCTCACACCTATAATCCTAGAAACTGAGGTCAAACATCACTAACTGCAAATGTAATTCGGTGGAGTTCTTGTCACAATTAAACACCCTCTCCCTGACAAAAATATCCAGAAGTAGAGCTGTGGCTCAAGTGATAGAGTACTAGCCTGGAGCAAAAAAAAATAAGCTCAAGGATAGCTCCCAGGCCCTGAATTCAAGCCCCAGGACACCCTTAAAACAAAACAACCACCAAAAAACAGTAGAGAATCTCCTGATCTCTCAGTAGACTTAAACTTTTGCATTTGAACCCAAAAGATGACATTTAGGGACACTCGGTGTTTCCGTTTCCTTCCTGAAGCATGTTTCAGAACATAGATAACACCAAGAAAAGGAGAAAAAAAATGTGCCTGATTATGTAACTTTATATATAAAATTTTATTATTTTTATAGTTTTTATGGTACTGGTATTTGAATCTTACCTTCAATTAAAAAACAGTTTGGTGCTGGGAAATTGGCTTAGTGGTAGAGCGTTAGTGTAGCATGCATGAAGCGCTGGGTTCGATTCCTCTGTACCACATACATAGAAAAAGCCAGAAGTGGCGCTGTGGTTAGCCTTAAGCAAAAGAAGCTGAGGGACAGTATGCAGGCCCTGAGTTCAAGCCCCAGGACTGGCAACAAACAAACAAACAAAAACTAAAACCTCTCTATTCCTCACTTTTACCATAATAATAAAAACTTTAAAACAAACGAGCTGGTAATGGAGGCATGACTCAAGTGCTAGGGTGCCAGCTTTAAGTGAAAAAGCTAAGGGAGAGTACAGGCCTCTGAGTTCAAGTCCCAGTGCCTGCATGCATACACACACGTGTGCGCGCTCACACACACATGCACACAAAAGAACCATTTCCTTCCTTTGAGCTGAAACGTTGGTAATTGTGTAATATGACATTGTATGTCTTGATTCCTCAGGTAGGTAATCATGCCAATAAGATTGGTTACAATCTCTGCCAATCATGTCAGTGATTGTTTTGACATCTACGTTCAGAAACAAGGACTTCTTGATTCATAATTCAAGAGGGAGGGGTGAAGAAGTCTAGCTAACTGTTTAAAACATTTCCGACAGTTCCTCATTCTTTATCGTTATATTTAGCATAGTGTATAGGTCTAGAGATGTTTCAGAGAGATAGGAAAAGAATATCTAGTGAAACATAGTTGTTCATGCCTGTATTTGAAGCATGCAAGAAGACAAGCTGAAAGAGAGAGAGAGAGAGAGAGAGAGAGAGAGATACTGTATTGTTCCAATGTAGTTTGCTTTTGAAGAATATAAAACTTCGTAATTGGATTTCAAGGTCTTAGAACATCACTGTCAAATTTAGCTACACTGCCTAGGTAGAGAGACTTGGACTATTGTAATCATTTTCTATTGTGTATTGTGAGCTACACCCAAGTTTTTGGATCCTAGCTGCATTTGTTGGCCCTGTTTCTGCCAGACCTGCATGAAGTGTGGTTTTGCAGGGTGCCTCTGGCTCTCAGCATCTGCTGAGGGGAGAGGTGCTGCGGACCTCGCTGTGGTCCCCGTGGGCCATGGCCAGGGCTGAGGGCTGATCTGGAGCTCATTGGTTCTTGGCAGGCCCTGTGCTGCTGCAGGACACAGCAGCTGGCTCGCCCTAGGCCAGCGGAGGGCAGGAGAGCGTGTCCAAAGCAGAACATGCAGACTTTCCCATCTAATTTTGGAAATGACATCATCTCTGCTCCTTCGGTTGGTAGTTTGTGGATCTCTTTGTTTAGTACATACTTGGAGAGAAGAACACATGGTGTGAGCACCAGGAGGGGCTAATTATGTCACAGTATGGCACGTGTGTGTGCACACATTCATGTATTCACACAGAGTTAGGGACTCAACTATGTTCCTCAAATTCTCATGTTGTAACTTCCCATGTTTCAGAATGTAACTCTATTTTGGATAGTCTCTGTGTGTGTGTGTGTGTGTGTGTGTGTGTGTGTGTGTATACCAGTACTAGGAGTTGAATTCAGGGCCTGGATAATGTCCCTGAGCATTTTTGCTCTACCACTTTAGCCACAGCTCCAATTCTTGCTTTTTTGGTGGTTACTTGGAGATATGAGTTTCATAGATTTTTCCTTCTCCGGGTTGATTTTGAATCTTGATCCTCAGATCACAGCTAAAGTTATAGTAGCTAAGATTTGCAGGCGTGAGCCACCAGTGCCTGGCTCGAGACAGTCTTTAAAAAAAGGCGTGTAAGTTAAAATGAGGTGGTTAGGTTGAACCCTAACCCAGCACCACTGGTGTCTTTGTAAGAGGAAATTGGATGCTCAGGGAGACGACAGGGCTGCCACCTGGGCACGGAAGACCAGGAGAGACAGCGGGAAAATGGCTGCCAAGGCGAGAAACACTTCAACCACCCAAACCTTCAGATGCTTTGATCCGGGACCTGTGGCTCCTGACCAAGACAAGATGAATTTCACCAGGCAAAGCCAAGTAGTGGATGGTGTGGTTGTGGCAACTTTTTTTAACAATAATTTTTTTATTGAGATTAATTGATTACATACATTTCACAGTATTGTGGGATAGTGATATTTAAAGTCACAAACACATTTTAACCTTCACAAGGCAAATGGTCATTATCATGGTCTATAATGTTTGTGAATTCTTCGAGCTTTGACTATACAACTATTTCTTCCACATCGGGTGATATGTGTGATTGTGGCGACTTTAGCAAACCCATATGCAGGTTCATAGGTCATCTTTGAATGAAAGGGCTGTCATAATGTTTAAACTTCTGAGTAATCTATGTGTCTTCTTTTTCTTCTTCTTTTTTTTTGCCTTGAAATCATAGGAACAGTGCTCCTTTAGCTGGGACTGGGGCCCTTCTTTTCCAACCCAGGGAATCTGGAAAGATGTGAGAATTGAAGCCTATAATATTTGTTATCTGAGTTACTTCACATTTTCCCCAATATATGGTAAGCTAACAATAGCGATTTCTTGCCTTTTTTTTAAAGTCTTGTCTTTGCTACTAAATTTAAATTTATAATTTGAATATATAAATAAACTTTTCAGAGACCTAGTTTTTAAAATAATGTGACACATCCAATGTATACAAGAGAAATAGATACAGACTGTGACTTGTCATAAAAGTTTATAATACACCAGGCACCAGTGGCTCATGTCTGTAATCCTCACTACTCTAGAGGCTGAGATCAGAGGATATCAATTCAAAGCCAGCCTGGCAGGAAAATCCTTGAGACTGTTATCTCCAATTAAGCACTGGAAAATCAGATGTGTCACTGCTCAAAGTAGTAGAGTTGTAGCCTTGAGTGAAAAAACTCAGAGACAGAGCCCAGCCTCTGAGCTCTGCCCCAGATCCCAGCCACTTGAACATCTCTATTTCTGGCTTTTTGGTGGTTAATTGGAAATAAGAGTCTCATAGACTTTCTTGCCCAGGCTGACTTTGAACTGCAATCTTCAGTTCTCAGCTTCCCGAGTAGCTAAAATTACAGCCGTGAGCCACCAGCTCCCAGCTCATCCTTATTTGGGGGGAGATTTTTTCATTAGGTCTTTTTGCCTTTGTTTCAATTTTGAGGATTTTTTTTTTTTTTTGTCGGCTGACAAGAAGCTCTTGCCATCCACGGAAGAAAGGGAAGACAGCTGTTATAACTATGCGCCTGTCTTTCTGGCCATTTCAAATATTAGTTCTTTGAGAAGCAGCTGCTTAAATCTGCCTTGGAATTCTGATGGGAGTCTGGGTCAGTATCTACGTCGGGATTTCCACATTCCATGATTGGGTTATGGCAGTGTGGCGCCATTGCTTTTTCTTTCTATGCTCAGGACCCCTGAGAGGAGAGAGCTGCAAAAACTCAGCATGGCAAAGAGAATCTAGGCAGCTCACTCCGAACAGCCCTCTCCACCAACAGGATGAAGCCTCGTTTTCATTTTTCATAAGCAAACTACTGGCATTTATAGATCTGTCCCCTGCTGACCTGAGCAGTCTCTGTCAATGCCCTTCCATTTCTTTACTTGTCCTTAAACCCCACCTGCCACTACAGTTCTTAACCATTTTCTCTGTGCATTCTTTCTCTAAGTGCATAGAAATAGAATTCTGTTGTTTTCTGGCCTGGGGAATAATTGTTAGTGCTTGTCAGTGTTTACAAACAGTAATTATTCAAAAGTATCCTTCCCTTGTTAGACAGAAATGCTCCACGCTATAATCCTGACTACTCAGGAGGCTGAGATCTGCCAATTGTGGTTCAAAGCCTGGGCAGGAAAGTCCTTGAGATTCTATCTCCATTTAACCACCAAAAAGCCATAAGTAGAGTTGTGGCTTAAATGGTAGAATACCAGCCTTGAGCAAAAATGCTAAAAGAGAACCCTGAGTTCAAGCCTTAGTACTTGTATAAAAGAGAAGAAAGGAAGGAAGGAAGGAAGGAAGGAAGGAAGGAAGGAAGAAAGGACGGTTGCTATTTTCATGCTTTGGGGGTTCAGAGCTGAGATTTTGAGGCATGGAGTTGCTACACAGCCATTCTATAGCTGGTGGAGGGTCTTTTCCTTTTTTCTAAAGATTCTCTTATTAAGAGGCCAACCTCTCCTTGTAATTCCCAGCAAAGGCTGTGTTTCCTATGAAGTGTGAATTCGGACTGTGAAAGGCAAATCCTACCTTTGCTGTTATTTTTCCTAACTGTTCATGTATGAGTCCTGCCAGGTCCCGCTGATGAGTGTGGACATGTTAGCATCGTTTTTTAGTAGCTGCCTCCAAAGGGGCAGACGGAAGGAAATGAGCACTAGAGCCAAGCAGCTCAGGTCCTTGTCCTGAGCTTTGGCTGAGGAGACTGAGCAGGAATGTGGGGAGCTACCTTAGCTACAAGGAGAACTTCTAATGGCTCTGGGTTCTTTGACTATAAATTAAATAGTTTTTTACAAAATAGGTTTAAATGTGGAAGTACCTCATTCCCTTGAAGCCAGACATCATATGATTAGATGTTGATATTGATGTGCATTCCTCATGGATGCTAGACAAGTGCTTTACTACCGAGCCATGTCCTCAGCTTTGTTTTAGAGAATGTTAAAGTCTAATACATTTGGCACAAACTGGATTTGTCTTATGATACTTTGATCCTTTGGATAGCAGAATAGCACTTATTTATACAGGCTGGGTATCTTCTTATTCTTTCTAGAACCTTCCATCCAGGTTAGACACTGGTGCTTTGTGAACCTACCACTGAAAGTTCCAAATGCCACTGGAAAAAGGGAAGTTGATATAAAATATATAATTTTAGTTATTGTTCAGAATGAAGAGTTAACTTCTATAGACCAAAATAATATTCCCACTGAACTTGTTAAGACAGAATTGTGAGGCACTTCCTGGTTTAGAAAATGTTTTGGTCCTGGGCTGGGAAGGTGGCTCAGCGGTAGAGCGTTTGCCTTGCGTGCATGAGGCCCTGGGTTCGATTCCTTAGTACCACATAAGCAGAAAAAAAAAGCCAGAAGTGGTACTGTGGCTCAAGTGGTAGAGCGCTAGCCTTGAGCTGAAGAGCTGAGGGACAGCGCCCAGGCCCAGAGTTCAGGCCCACAACTGGACCCCCCCCCCAAAAAAAAGAAAATGTTTTGGTCCTATCTTCAATGAATCCTAAAAAATGCAGGATTATGCTTATCATATACATATATGTATATATATTTTTTCTCTTTATGCTATAGATAACACTGCCCGGGCGTGGAGTCTTGAAATAGAATCTTCTTTTGATGTTATCAGTTCAAAACCAGTTGGTGGCCAAGTGATTGTAGCCATCCCTAAACTACAAATACAGAAGACATACAACATCACTCTGCAACATGGGAAAAGGACTGTTAAGCTGGTTGTGAAAATTAACAAGGTTAGTACCTGGACTTTCTGACAAGCAGTGCACGAAAGCAACCATTGCTCAACAGAAATGGGGAGAGAGAAGGGACAGACTATGAAAAATCCACTCTGTTATTTTCCTTCATTTCCCACTCTCTCTTTCTCTCTCTTTCTTTCTCTCCCTCTCTCTCTCTCTCTCCCCCCCCCCCCTCTCTCTCATTTTGGGGTTGGCCGTGGGGCTTGTACTCAAGGCCTGGGCACTATCTCTGAGCTCTTTTACTCAAGGCTAGTACTCTACCACTTTGAGCCATAGCACCACTTCCACTCTAGTGGTTTATTGGAGATAAAAGTCTTACAACCTGGCCAGGCTGGCTTTGAACCACAATTTTCAGATCTCAGCATCCTGAGTAGCTAGGATTACACGTATAAGCCACCAATGTCCAGCCATTTTCTGCTCTATTTTTTTTTTTTTTTTGGTCAGTCGTGGGCCTTGAACTCGGCCTGATCACTGTCCCTCAGCTCTTCAGCTCAAGGCTAGTGCTCTACCACTTGAGCTACAGCGCCACTTCTTGTTTTCTGGTGGTTTATTGGAGATAAGAGTTCCACAGACTTTCCTGCCCGGGCTGGCTTTGAACCATGATCCTCAGATCTCAGCCTCCTGAGTAGTTAGGATTACAGGTGTGAGCCACAGGTACCCAGCTTTTCTGCTCTATTTTTAACTTCTCCTTTTGTGAGTATGAGCTCAGGATTGATTTTTCTCAAATTTAAAGAAGAAAATGGTGATAGTGGGATTAACTTGGCCACCTTGCTTCTCAAGAAGTCAGTTTTGCCAGGTAGTAGTGCTGGGGGTGGCTTGTGCCTGTAAGCCTAGCTACTCAAGAGGCTGAGATCTGAGGGTCTCTGTTTGAAGCCAGCTACAGCAGGAAAGCCTGTGAGACTCTGATCTCTAATCAACAGAAAAGCCAGAAGTGTAGCTCAAGTGATAGAGCACTTGTCTGGAGCTAAACAGCTAAATCAACCGTGTCCAGGTTCTGAGTTCCAGTCCCAGTATTGGCTCTGAGTTCCAGTCCCAGTATTACTCTACACAAAGAGTGTAGAGTAAATGTGAGCTTGATAGAGTGAGAAGAACAGTTTTTTTCCCCCCGAATACCCATGTTATTCCGTTCTTTCCCCTTCAATTGCAATGTACTTATCTCAAAGTAAGTTGGCCTTAAAATATTATAGTGTGTTGGCATGATGTGGCATAATATAGAGTTATACTGTTTTAAAACCTAGAGTTTCTACGCTTGATTCTGAAAAATGCTCTAATGATTACCATGTTCTAAGTGATTCTTTCTTTCTGAAAATATGGGATCTTCCTTGAAGTAACATATCTATTTTTTTAAAAGAATATTGCTGTGGAAACTTGGTGGCCCCATGGGCATGGGAACCAGACGGGGTACAACATGACGATTCTTTTTAAACTGGATGGAGGCTTAAACATTGAGAAATCAGCTAAGGTAAGCTGAACTAATGTTTTTAAAGTTTTATTTCTTGATAAAATAGCAATACAAGCATTTGAAGGAAAAGAAGAAACTAGCAGAACTTATAAAATCCCTGCTCAGAGTGGTTTTATATCACTCCAAAGCTTCTCTGTGTATATACTTATATTTCTTATTTTTATTTTTTGCCAGTCCTGGGGCTTGAACTCAGGGCCTGGGTACTGTCTCCGAGCTTCTTTTGCTCAGGGCTAGCACTCTATCACTTGAACCACAGCACCACTTCTGGCTTTTTCTGTTTATGTGGTACGGAGGATTTGAACCCAGGCTTCATACATGTTAGACAAATGCTCTACCATTAAGCCACCTTCCCAGCCCCTATATTTATATTTTTAAATGGATCAGACCTTACCTGTTATTTTGGTATTTTATTTTCTCTCTTTCTTTTTCTATCTGTCTCTCACTCTTTCTCTCTTTTTTTCCAGTGCTGGAGTTTGAACACAGGGTCTCACATATGCTAGACAAGCATTCTACCATTAAGCTACATTGTCATTACTCCCATTTCTCCTTTTAAATTGTACACTGTATCTAAGTAATACACATGTATAACTTTAAACATTGCTTGAGGCTTCACATGCAAAATAGGATCCCTAGCTTAACTCTTCTAATTCCTATTTCCTAAATCCCAGAAAATTAAAACACCACCTCATTAACTTTTACTTATTCTTTTGCTATTTACCTTTATTTTCCAAAATACCATGCTTCTACTGACTAGTGTTTTCTAATTTTTCTAGTCCAGATTGGGATTTGGTTCTAAGAACTGGAACAATCTGCACATTTTTTTACTTGTTAGCTATAGGTTGCTTAAGCCATTAAGTGGTATTTCTTTATATAAAAAGACTAGGGACAGCAAAAATGAGCGGTTGGGTCTGGTTTATAATAGTCATTGCATAATAGCAACTATGTTTCCTCCTTCCTGACTGCCTCCCTTCCTCCCTCCCTTCCTTCCTTCCTTCCTTCCTTCCTTCCTTCGTTCCTTCATTCCTTCGTTCCTTCCTTCTTTCCTTCCTTCCTTCCTTCCTTCCTTCCTTCCTTCCTTCCTTCCTTCCTTCCTTCCCTCTCCCTCTCTTTCTTTTGACAATACTGGGACTTGAACTCAGGGCCTGGGTACTATCCCTTAGCTTTTTTGTTCAAAGCCTGTGCTTGAATAACACTTGAACTACAGTTCCACTTCCAGCTTTTCTTTGGTGATTAATTGGAGATTAGAGTCTCACGGACTTTCTTGCTCAGGCTGACTGTGACCCTGAATCCTCAGATCTCAGCCTCCTGAGAAGCTAGGATTACAGACATGAACCACTAGCACCTGGCCTTCTCTGTTTTTGTTCACTCCTGCTCCATTTCTTCTGAGACCGTGTGTATATGTGTATGTGTGTACAGCAGGAGGCCCATGTTCTGGTCTTGTGTGAAGGGCATTTATTCCCATGTCTCAGAGAGGGTGTGGGCTCTCTTACATGTTCATTTGCTGGGTCTTCATGAGAATGGTAAAAGTAGGGAGTCATTCCAGCTTGCTTCAGAGCAAAGGAGAGAACATGTGGTAGCTCATTCTTTACCCCTTAGGCCAATATGCTTGCATCATTGTTTATTGATGTGAAGATGTCAGCGTGTAAAATGAGGGGCAAAAGTGGTGGAAAAGATGTACTGCCCACCCCCTGCATCCTGGCACATGTGTGAAACATGAGGTTGAAGCATTCCTTATTTTTGGAGGCTCATTTGGTCATCAGTATTGAGCACACTATGTGTGTGGGTGCTGTGCCAGGGATTGCTGGTACATCTTGGGATTAGACACTGCTCTCATTTCTCCATGAAACCTTACGAGTGCCAATACTCTGGTTGGGAAGTGGAATTGATTGAAGAAACACTTGTAATAAAAAAAAATAATGGAGGGCTGGGAAGGTAGCTTAGCGGTAGAATGCATGCCTTGCAAGCATGAGGCCCTGGGTTAGATTCCTCAGCACCACATAAACAGAAAAAGCTGGAAATGGCGCTGTGGCTCCAGTGGTAGAGCACTAGCCTTGAGCTGAAGAGCTGAGGGACAACGCCCAGACCCAGAGTTCAGGCCCCATGACCAGCAAAAAAAAGTAATGGACACTCTAGAGAAATAGAGGCTTGTAGAGTGGGGGATTCTGGGAACACCACTGGGGCAGGCAGTGCCGTGTTCTGAGGAGTAAGTTGAAATTTTCAATGTAGCAGAGCATTGATTTCATCTAGGGTCCAGTTCATTTTCTCCATTGATTAAAGAATTAAAGGGCAGGAAAAATGTTTGAATCAGGAAAGTGTTTGAAGTAGACAGAAACAGGCTTATATCAAAGTGAAAGTAACAGGAAAAAATACACCAAACAAGGCAACCCAAAATCAGTAGCTTTTCTGTATATCAACAATGTACTAAGGCTAAGGAAAAAACTCAGGAAAATAATTTCATTCACAGTAGCCACAAAAAAAGCCCTGAAGTATAAACTTAATCATAGAGGTGAATAAAAACCTCTCCAAGGCAAACTGTAAAAACCCTAGAGAAAGAAATTGAAGACAGCCTTGAGTGAAAAAGCTAAGTGCCAGGGCCCGAGCTGTGAGTTCAAGGCCCATTTCCAGCAGAGAGAGGCAAAAAGGAGAGAGAAAACATGTGAAATTTGCATTTCCACACAAATTGCTTGGTAGCAAGTAGGAAAATTAACATTGGACTACTTATTGCGTTGCTACAAAACTGTGCTTCCGTTTTTAGAAGTCAATTTTGCTTTCATAAATTTGAAGTCAAATATTTAATTCTTTTCTTGACAGGTTTATTTTAGAACAGTAGAACTTATAGAAGAGCCTATAAAAGGATCTCCTGGTCTCAGTTTCTACTTCAAAATCAATGGATTGCCCATATTCTTGAAAGGCTCCAACTGGATTCCAGCAGATGCCTTCCAGGATCGAGTAACCTCTGACTTGTAAGTTTCTGGCTCTGTGTATGTGTGTGTGTGTGTGTGTGTGTGTGTGTGTGTGCGCGTGTGTGCCAGGCTTGGAGCTTGAACTCAGGGCCTGGGCACTACCCCCTGAGCTTTTGTGCTCAAGGCTAGTGCTCTACTACTTGAGCCACAACTGTACTTCTGGCTTTTTGCTGGTTAATTGGAGATAAGAATATTGAAGACTTGTCTGCCTGGGCTGGCTTCAAACTGCAATCCTCAGACCTCAGCCTTCTGAGTAGCTGGGATTACAGATGTGAGCCACCGGCACGTGACTACCATCAGGATTTTTTTTTAAGTATGTAATTTTAACAGAGATTTAAAATGTGTCGCTAAAATTGTTTAAAAATATATTACCACATTTCTAAAATAACAGCTATTTGCTGATTTATTTTTATAATTTCTTCTGCAGGTTGCAGCGCCTTTTACAGTCTGTGGTGGATGCCAACATGAATATACTTCGGGTGTGGGGAGGCGGGATTTATGAGCAGGATGGATTCTACGAACTGTGTGACAAGCTAGGAATCATGGTGAGTAGTGGGTAAGTTAGGGTGTTTCAGCATGGCCCCAGTGTGGGGTAGACACTGTGCTTTGTTTCTCTGCGTGGTCAGGGGAATAGTGACATGGTATAAACTCAGAACCACATTCCTAACAAATTCGGTTATCTATGTGTGTATTTATTTGTTTGTTTGTTTTATTTTTGAAAGTCCTGAGATAAAACTCAGGGCCTGAGTGCTGTCCCTAAGCTTTTTCACCTCAAGGCTAATGCTCTACCACATGAGCCACAGCTCTGCTTTTTGCTCTTTTGTGTGTGATTAGTTGGAGGTAAGATCTCATGGACTTTCCTGCCCGGGCTGCCTTGTCCATGCTCAGAGAGTCCATATGTGGTGGAGTCAAAATTCTCATTAAGATGGACTGTTGGGCTGGGAAGGTGGCTTAGTGGTAGAGTGCTTGCCTTGCATGCATGAGGTTCTGCGTTTGATGCTTCAGCACCACATAAACAGAAAAAGCAGGAAGTGGTGCTATGGCTCAAGCCTTGAGCTGAAGAGCTCAGAGACAGCTCCCAGGCTCAGGTCCTGTTCACTGTCCCTGAGCTTTTTTGTTCAAGGCTGGTACTCTACCACTTTGAGCCATAGCTCTTCTTTTAGTTTAAGTCTCTGGAGGATAAGAGTCTCATGAACTTTCTTGCCTGGGATGTTTTCGAACCATGATCTTCAGATCTCAGCCTCCTGAGTAGCTAGGATTACAAGTGTGAGCCATCAGTATCCAGCTTTTAACTTCCGTATCAGCTGGCCTTCTTCATTATTCATTGTTTCAGTATTACAGTGAGCATTTTGGTTGTGTAAAGATAATTCCATAGTAAGTATGAGTTGTTTTTTTTTAAATAATCGGGTACATCGTGTGTGTGTGTGTGTGTGTGTGTGTGTGTGTGTGTGTGTGTGTGTGTGTGTGTACGTACTAGGGTTCGAAACAGATACTCAACAACTGAGCTAAGTTTATTAACTATTATTAAGTGTCTCTTAATCACAAAGTTTATGAACTGTTATTAAGTGTCTCTTAATCACAAATGCTGGGTGGAAATTAGAAATGAAGAGAAAACTGGGAAAAGTTGCATTCTGTTTTCCCTCAACACCCTTGTTCTTTATAAATTCTCCTTTCTTATCTCTTGTGTCTACCTGATGTTTGCTTGGGGTTTCTAACCCTAGCTCAGTTCTGGAACATTCTGAGGTCTGGAAATGCCTCTTCTGTGGGTGCCATTCATCAGGGATCTGCGATTTCCTTTATGTGGAAAGCGACTGTCCCAAGTCCAGAAGGAAGCCTTCCTGTCCCTGTAAGAAAACCTGGAAGTGCTTTGTCTGCTTTTTTGGTTTACAGGTGTGGCAGGATTTCATGTTCGCCTGTGCTCTTTATCCAACGGAGAAGGACTTCCTGAGCTCAGTGGGAGCAGAAGTCACTCACCAGGTACATTGTTATCACCTGTGATCAGAGAAAACATGCATGTTTTAGTTTTGCAAGGTCACCTTATTTCTCTGATCTTTATTAAACCCCATGAAAAATTCCACCATCAGATAATTGGTGCCTTAGGCCTTTCCAGTCAGTATTCACAACACCTTTTTGCTGAACAACTCCTGGATTTATAACCAGTCCCAGAATCACTGCCTTCCTTCTCCCATCTACCTGTTTACCTGGCTTCTCTGCTTGGAGCATCACAAATAGAATCCATTCAAACCCCACTTAGCTCCTTTCCCCAGCCTCATGTTTACAGTTCTTCCAAATGATAATGCCATGGCAAACAATAATGTCAGCCTGAGTTGTTCTGGACCAAAACTTTAAGGTGCTTCTTGACTCCATGTCTCACTTTGCATTCTACATACATCTGTTTGTATGTGTAGATATGGGAGCATAAGAAAGTGATGCTATGCTGTCTCTACCCATTGAAAAGGCCTAGAAACAATGGTCAACTTAGTGATACTGAGTATCGTTACAGTGAAATAGTCTTTTATGAAGAGAAAGGCTTCTGCCAAGTGTGGTGAGGTGTTCCTGTCATTCCAGCTACTTAGAGATTAAGACAAGGGAATCACTGGAGTCTAGCTCAAGGCAGCCTGGGCAGCACAGTGTGACTTTATCTCAAGAAAAAACAATCAGCCAAGCCTGGCGATGCATATCTGTAATCCTAGCTATTCACGAGGCAGATATGGGAATATCATGTTGGGAGCTGGCCCCTTGCCAAAGCAGGAAACCCTATCTGAAAAAGAGAACCAGCAGTAGAGCACTTGCCTAGCAAGCATAAGGTCTAGAGTTCAAACCTAAGTACCACCCACAAGAAAAAAAAAACAACAAAAAACAAACAAACCAAAAAAACACCTCCACGCCACACAAAACACAGGTGTTATTTTGAAAAGGGAAACGTTTCTCCTACCGTTTCGTGTATCTGTTTTTTAGCTTCTTGCTGTAAGAAGAGCTTTGGTATCTCAGTGATGTAATAGGGCCCAAACCTACTGCAGAAAAATGTCCCTTGACCACTCCCTCCTGTGTCTTTCTCAAAGACTTAATTGTGTGCCTCTGCTTGTATGGATGGAAAGGCAGGGCTTGGCCTTGCCTATCCTGTGAAGAACAGATCCAGATGGTGTCTCTGGAGGCCGGGCTTCTCAGCGGGTTCGCTAGTGTGCTCTTCTGCGCTCTTTTTGGAATGTCCTCTACTTCAATTGGTTCCATGGGACGTGGCATGGGAAGCTGGTTCAGGAAAAGTCCCAATCTACTCTTCTAATGCTCACTTGTTTTATAAAACTTTCTCTAAGTCTTCTTCTACTTTCCTCTCTGTCTCTCTCTCTCTTTTTTTTTAAATTGTGAAAATACCGTACAAAGGGATTACAATTACATGGGGAAGATAACGAGTACATTTCTTATCAAGCATTGTTGTTGCCTCCTCCTTTGTTTCCCCTTCCCATACCCCCCCCAACCGATCCTCCCCACCCTCCACCAAAGTTGTAAAGTTTGTTTTTCGACATAACGACTTGTACATCTCATTGTTGCAATGGGTCCACCTGTATCCATATTTAAACTATTTGTTTTTTCCCTTCCCCTCCACATCTGTCTCTCTTTCTTTTGTTTTGAGTTTTGTTGGTACCAGGTTTCTTCTTTTGAACTCAGCTGGTGCTCTTATCACCTGAGCCACGCCTCCAGTCTAACATTTTGCTGGCAAATTGGAGATCAAGTTGCACGGACTTTTCTTCCCAGACTAGTAAAGATCCCAGTCTCCTGAGAAGTTAGGATTCTAAGATGTCAATCACCAGCAGTTTTTTTTTTTCTTAATGTCTTAAAAGAGGTTATATTTTCATCAGCTTTTAATACAGCAGAGAAAAGGAATGCTGTCTTATCAATGTTAAATCTAGGTAAGAGGAACTTCAGAGGATTCATAAACTATCTCCACAAAACATTTTCTAGTGAGTATCTGGCTATAACTAGCTCTTCAGTTAAGCACTGGAAAGTTATTTTGTGTGTTTTTAATTTTCAGATCAAGAGATTGAAGTCTCATCCTTCTATCGTCCTGTGGAGTGGCAATAATGAGAACGAGGCGGCACTCATGATGAACTGGTATTCTATAAATCCCAGTCAGTTGCACACCTACATCAAAGACTACGTGACTCTCTACGTGAGAAACATCAGGGCACTTGTCCTGGAAGTAAGGAGTGGGTCTGTAATGCAGCAGAATTTAAGAATGTGCCGTTAGCTGGGCATTGGTGGCTCACGCCTGTAATCCTAGCTACTCAGGAGGCTGAGATCTGAGGATTGTGGTTGGAAGCCAGCCCAGGCAGGAAAGTCCTTGAGATTCTTATCTCCAATTAACCACCAAAAAGCCAGAAGTGGCTTCAATAGTAGAGTGCCAGCCTTGAATTCTAGCTCTAGTACTGGCACATACACAAAAGAGAGGATGTGCTCTTGCATTGAATAAGGTAAATATGGGTATAGTGTGTTTTATGCTCCTATTTAGAGCAGTCTTCAAAAGCATCATTGGAATTCCAACTCTCCACGCATGCCCAGGACTGTGCTTTCGATCAAAGATTGTCACACTTGAGTTCATACGTGGATCCAGCAGTGTAAACCATCTCTGTATTCAATGATTTAGGGACCAGCCACCTCTACCGTCCTGTAATTAATGATACATGTTCATGTAGACTTTGGTGTATATTGTGTGTGAATGAAGAAAGATTTGGCTCGCAGCTCTCCATTAGGGTCCTTCCTCTCAGTACCACTGTATGTGGTACTGATATTAATATCAGTGGTATTAATAACATTAATACATTCTGTCCTTTGTGTGAGAGGAAAGCATTGTTGCCTTTGTTTATGCCTTGAAAGATTGTTTAAAAAACTAGGGTGGAGCCAGGCATCAGTGACTCATGCCTGAAATTCTAGCTACTCAGGAGGCTGAGATCTGAGGATTGCGGTTCAAAGCCAGCCTGGGCAGGAAAGTCTGTGAGACTCTTAGCTCCAATAAACTACTCAGAAAAAGCCAGAAGTGGCACTGTGGCTCAAGCACTACAGTGCTAGTCTTGAGCTGAAGAGCTGAGGGACAGCTCCCAGGCCCAGAGTTCACTTCTGGCTTTTTGTGCTTATGTGGTACTAAAGAATTGAACCCAGGGCTTCATGCACGTTAGGCACTACCACTAAGCCACATTCCTAGCCCTATCTCTCTATTTTTTGAGGCAAGGTTTCCCTCTGTTAACCAGGCTGACCTTAAACTTGTAATCCTTTGGCCTCCTGAAGGGACTGCAGGTGTATGCAACTCTCCTTGGATTACTATTCCATTCATGAGAAGAAACTTCAGTGAGAATGAGAAATACATAGATTCAAAGTTGTGCCTTTACTGGATATATTGAGTCATTTGTTATTGAAAAATGTTTATTAATATTTAATACTTATAAGGCCAGTAAATATGTATAAGCCACTTACTTTATAATGTTTTAACTTATTTTATAATATTTTGATTGAAAAATTTAGCAAGAGTTTGGTGAGGGATTGACTCAGTTTTAGTGCTGGATGCAAAAGGTAGCTGATGAGGGAGATAAACGGTACTATTCACTTTTACCAGCTATTTGCATGGTGGGTACTTCACAGAGTTGTTTTTGTTGTTGTACTGGTACTGTTACCTGAACGCAGAGCCTTACACTCTTGATTGGCTTTTTCACTTAAAATTGGTGCTCTACCACTTGAGCCATACCTCTGCTTCTGACTTTTTGCTGGTTACTTGGATATAAGTCACTTGGACTTTTCTTGGATATAAGTCACTTGGACTTTTCTGCTCAGGCTGGCTTTGATTTGTAATCTTCAGATCTCATCTTCTTGAGCAGCTAAGATTACAGGTGTGAGCCACCAGTGCTCCGCTTTGAATAGTGGTTGTTTGGTTTCATTTTGTTTGAAATTTGTCAAAATTTTTGTTTTTTAATTGTTACCATAAAGCCAATATACAGAGGAGTTACAATTATATGTCAGGTAGTGAGGACATTTCTTTTTTGACAATGTCACCTCTTCCTTTGCTTTCTCCCAGTTTTTCCCCTCCAATCCCCACTCACAAATCCCATAATTCATTTTCAACATAGTGACTAGTGAGTATCACTGCTGCAATTGTGAATAGAGTTTTTAAAGGAGAGCAAGCAATCTATACTTTGTTCAATGAGATTGTTATCTTCAAAATCCGTCTGCTTCTGTACTCAGGGAGACAAGACTCGGCCTTTTATCACATCCAGTCCTACAAATGGAGCCAAGTCAATCGCGGAGGGCTGGGTCTCCCACTACCCGTACAGCAACCATTATGGTGACGTACATTTTTATGACTACACAAGCGACTGCTGGGATTGGAAGATTTTCCCCAAGGCACGGCTTGTGTCTGAATATGGCTATCAGTCCTGGCCTTCATTTAGCACAATAGAGAAGGTGAGCCCGCATTGGTTTGGTTTTTCTAGAACAGTGGACAGTGGAAATGAAATGGAGTTATGTATGTGAAAATTTAGGAAGAAGATGGGAAAAAATAACTTTTTTTTAACCACTGAGGAAACAAATCTTATGGTCGTCCTTTAGACGATGATGGTTTTTCTATATTCTTTTTCATTATATTCCTTCAGGAGCACTTAAAAGTTAGATGGTTGAGTAAGACTTACCATCACACAAGGAAATAACTTTAAGCCAAGGCCCTGACTTAACTTCAAGCCCCAGTATTTTAGCTGCATGCTGGTGCCTCACACCTGTCATTGGAGCTATTCAAGAGGCTAAGATATAAATATTGAAGTTCAGAGTCAGCCCAGGCAGGAAAGTCTGTGACACTCTTAGCTCCAATTAACTAGTAAAAAGCCAGAAGTGGAGCTGTGGCTCACATGGTAGAATGGGAGTCTCGAGCTAAATAAATAGGTAGGGGATAGTGCCCAGACCCTACCAGTGTCCTCTGTCTCTCCTTTACACAGGGTTAACATTGAGCTCCAGTCTGTATATTTGCTTATTCTTCAAATCCATATCATTGCAATCAGGCATTCACTCTCTGGTCAGGAGACTGCTTCTTTAACTCAGTCTACTATTTACAAGACTCCTTCACGTTGTGCTATGTATTAGAATGCCATGACTTTCCATTGCTAGATAATATATGGTTGAATAGATCTCCCACATCTTATTCATCCATTCATCTGTTGATGACCATTTGTGCGATGTCTACTTTGGGGCTTGTGAATACTTCTGTGGACTTGCCCAGGCAGAAGGAACCTCTGTTTAGCACTCTGAGGAACCTGAAGTTGTTTTCTATAGTGATCATTCCATTTTGCATGTTTGAGGGTTCCAGTTTTTCTTTGTTTGGGTTTTTTTTTAACTGTATTTTTTTTTGTCTTTTCTTTTTTGGTACTGGGGATCGAACCCAGGACGTTGTGCTTGCTAGGCAAGCGCTTTGCCACTGAGCTACATCCCAGCCCGGGTTCCAGTTTTTCTACATTCCTGCCAACACTTGTTATTTTCCTTTTATTTCCCTCTAAGTACACACTTACAAAAACTTCACATTTCTTTGATGTCCAGTTAGATCTAGCATCTCTCCCTGGGTTTATTTTTTGAGAGATACATAATAAGATCATTTTCTCATTTTACTTACTTACTTTGGCAGTACTGGAGTTTTAACTCAAAGCTTCTTGCTTGTCATGCCGGTGCTATACCCCTTTCCCTTTTTTGGCTGTAGTTTATTTTTCAGATGAGATCTTCATAGCTTTAGCCAGGATTAGCCTCAAACTAAGACCTTTCTGCCCCTACTTCCTTCCACAGGCATGAACCATTATGCCTGACTTGTTTGTTTGAAATGGGTATCTCCCTAACTTTTGACCAGGCTGACCTTGAACTCTGGTCCTTTTATCTCCTCCTCCTAAGTAGCTGGAATTACAGGCATGTGCCACCACTTGTAGCCCTCAATTTGCTTTATTATTTGCCTTTTTATTATTGAGTTACTTTTTTTTTTTTTTTTTTGGTCAGTCACGAGGCTTGAATTCAGGGCCTGGGCTCTGTCCTGAGCTCATTTGCCCAAGGCTAGTGCTCTATCACTTTGAGCCACAATTTCACTTCTGGTTTTATTGAAGATAAGAATCTCATGGACTTTCTTGACTAGGCTGGCTTCAAGCCGCAATTCTCAGATCTCAGCATCCTGAGTATCTAAGCTTACAGATATGAGCCACCAATACCTGTCTGAGTTACAATTTTCAAAAATATACTTTAGATTTTAAAAAATCATATATATGGTTTGTAAATGTTTTCTCTCCATCTATGGGTTATTTACTAAGTAAAAGCACAAACTTTTGAAAATTTTCATGAATATCTACTTAACAGTCTCTGGAACTTTTGGTGTTATTGCCAAAAATGTATTGTCTAATCCAAATGATAATTTACCCTCATGTTGTCTCAATGCTATGGTTTTAGCTATTGCATTTAGGGTTGTGATTCATTTTGAAGGCTTTTTTTTTCTTTCCTGTGTGGTCTTAGGTAAGTGTTTATGTTCACTTTTTTATGTTATACTGCCATTTATTGGTGCATAGCTTTAAAAAAATAATTTTCAGCCAGGCACCAATGGCTCAAACCTCAAGAATGTTAGATCCAGGGGATTGTGATTTAAAGCTAACCTGGCCAAAAAAATTCTGGACAAAAACAATATTATTTTCAGGGACTAGGGACTAGGGGCTAGGGGCTTAGCGGGCCAGTGCTTGCCTAGCACGCACAAAGCCCTGGGTTGGATGTCTCAGCACCACATAGACAGAAAAAGGCAGTGCGCTGTGACTCAAGTGGTAGAGCACTAGCCTTGAGCAAAGGGAAGTTCAGAGACTGCTCAGGCCCTGAGTCCCAGCCCCAGGACTGGGAAAAATAAATTCCATTTTCAAAATAATCTGGGTGGGGGTGTGTGGCTCAAGATGTCAAGTACCAGCTCAGCAAGTGCAAGGCTCTGAGTTTAAGACCTGGCACTGACCAAAAAAAAATGATTTTTAGGGAAGTGTTATTATTTGACTTGTTTCTTCAGCTCTATTGAAAGTTAAACTTTTGTCTATCCAGTTTTGTTTAGTATTCACTGAGAAATAAGTAACTAGTATGAACACATAAAACACTCACTGTTGTATTTGTGGTGCTATAATTCTATTTAAGAGCCAAGCCAGTTCTAACAGAGCACTAATAACACTGTATTATTCAATTTTGACAAACTAATAGCAAAAAATGATATTTACTCAAATGGATAAGATAGTATTTTAAAATATACATAGTGAATGTCCTAAAAACTATGTGTTTTGATAAGGCAAGGCTTTTGAGAGAAATACCAAAATATAAATTTCTAACTTCTAAATGTCAAATCCTGTTTTTCTGATTTTACTTTGCACAAGACTAGTATGTCACCCTAACAAGTGTGATAGGAAAACATTCATGAAATTCGAGCCACATTAAAAAAACAAGTTAGGCTCTTCTTTTTAATGTGTTCAGTATTCTCTATGATTGACAGGAACTTACAAAGAAAAGTAGCTTTCCTGCTAAAATCTGTAACTCTTATTCCTTATTCAAAAGGTCTCATCTAACACCGACTGGTCTTATAATAGTACATTTTCCTTTCATCGACAACATCATGAAAATGGTAACAATGAAATGCTTAGTCAGGTTGAACATCATTTCAAACTCCCCAGAAGCACAGATCCATTACGCATGTTTAAAGATCTCATCTACCTAACTCAGGTAAGTCAAGTTCATGGTGAGGCCCCATAGCTCTCTATGGGCATCATGGGATGTAAACCATTCTACCAGTTAAGGAATTTATCTTATTCAAAATAAGTCCTGATAATACTTAAGACTTGAAACGATTGATTCTTAGTATTTGTTTCTTTTTGTTCTTATTTCTGTTTTTCTCAGCATTTGTTTCTTTGGAAAGAACAACTTATGCAGTTCAAAAACAAATAGTCAGGCTGGGAAGGTGGCTCAGTGGTAGAGTGCTTGCCTTGCATGCATGAGGCCCTGGGTTCGATTCCTCAGCACCACATAAGCAGCAAAAGCTGGAAGTGGTGCTATGGCTCAAGTGGTAGAGCGCTAGCCTTGAGCTGAAGAGCTGAGGGACAGCATCCAGGCCCAGAGTTCAAGCCTCATGACTGACCAAAAACAAAAAACAAAAACAAATTGTCCATGAGACTCTTATCTCCAGTTAGCCACCAGAAAACCAGAAGTGGAGCTTTGGCTCCAAGTGGTAGAGCTCAAGCCTTGAGCAAAAAAGCTCAGAGACAGCACCCAGGTCCTGAGTTCAAGCCCCACAATGACAACACACACACACACACACACACACACACACACTTGCAATTGTTTGATCTATGAGGTTCTCCCAGTGGGAAGAGATTTGAGGAGAAAAACAAAGTAGATGATATCTTTAAACACATAACAGATATATACATATACATATCTAATTCATGTGTGTGCTGGACTCAAACCCAGACCCTTGTGGTATCTGGGCTCCATCAATGAGTTACCACTTAATATTGATGTTATACATGTCATCCATAGTAAAGAGCTTCTACAAAACAACAGAAAGGCAGAAAAACTTATTAAAAATGTATGGAAATCTTGAATAGGCAATTCTCACACATAAAAGATATCCAAGTGGTCCATGAACAGGTGCTTAATCTGTCAACCAAAGGAATGCAGCCTAAAAGCTTGGGATGGAACCCTACACATCCAGCAAAATGGCTAAAATTAAGAAGATTGACATCAGCAACTGCTGGTAAGAAGGTGAAGCTACTGGAGCTTTGCAGTTTGTTAGTAAGAGTAGAAATTGGTTTAACCCTGGTAGAAATAATTCTGGCAGGTTCTACCAAAACTAAATATTTGCTTTCCTTTTAAATAAGCACTTAGAACATTTCCTAGCTATGCACCTAAGGAACACAAGTGCCTCTGTCCACTGGCAGGCATATAAAATAGTGTTTAGAGATAGCAGTTTTATTCATGAATGCCCAAACTAGGAACAACATTAATTTTTCTGTGTGTGCGCTGGTCCTGGGGCTTAAAGTTAGGGCCTGGGCACTGTTCCTGAGCCTCTTTGCGCAAAGCTAGCACTGTACTACTTGAGCCACAGCTCCACTTCCAGCTTTCTGCTAGTTAATTGGAAATTAGAGTCTCATGGACTTTCCTGCCCAGGCTGGCATTGAACTGCAATCCTCAGATAGCAGTCTCCTGAGGAGCTAGGATTACAGGTGTGAGCCACCAGTTCCTGGCCTGTTCTTTGCTTTTGGAAGTCATATTAAAATACATAGTTATATTAGAAAACATGTCTTACAATAGTCAAAGCAGCAATCGTTTTTTATTACAAATAACAAAAAAGAATCCAACTTTATAAGTAAAAGAGGAACACTGATTATCATTAAAATAGTCACATTATCTATTAAAATATCTTCATAGTGGCACAATTCCAATATATGTGCTAGCTGTTACAGACATAGAATTTCTGATAATAATTTTTAATAAGTACATGGTAACAAATAAGGCAAACAAACAATGGAGCATTGCTAATTGTGTGTGTGTGTTTGCATGCACACTCTCATGACTGTTTTCCCCCAAATCAGGTGATGCAGGCCCAGTGTGTCAAAACAGAAACTGAATTCTACCTGCGCAGCCGCAGTGAGATAGTGGATGGCAAAGGTCATACCATGGGGGCACTTTATTGGCAGCTGAATGACATCTGGCAGGCTCCTTCCTGGGCCTCTCTTGGTAAGCATTCTCAGCATTCTTTATGTATAGAGAGAAAGTAGTATCTGTGAAGACAGGCGCGCGCACACACACACACACACACACACACAGAGGGGGTGGGGAACAGATGAACTCCAGCAGAACTGGGGCCAAAAGCCACTTCCTCCTCCAGGTCTGGGATCTGGTCACCCAAGTCATACTTTAGTCTCTCCATGAGCCTGGCATGTGGCCTGTCAGTTCTGTGCACATAAGTCATACAGCAAAATAGCAAAGCATAGATTTGAGGACTCAGATCTCAGTCATGTGACTCGCAGTTTCTTGAGTAGATTGAAGGGGGCATCTAGGACCGGCAGGAGATGAGTGTAAGCACCCTTTCTTCTCTGTAAGAGAATTCAGTCAAGTTGAAGGTTGTCCCAAGAAAGAGACACAGTGTCCATTATGTTGGCATAATAAATGCCCTGTTCACCTCTGGGGGAGAGGTAGCACAGCCAGAAATCCAAACAGGAACATGTACCATGAGCCAATTCAACTAACACCCCGTGAGATAGCTAGTGTAGAACTTGAAGTTTCAGTGATTTCATTTATTTGGGTACATTTAAAAACATGAAGGCCAGGCACCTGTGACTCACATCTGTAATCCTGCTCGGGAGGCTGAGATCTGAGGATCACAGCTTGAAGCCAACCTGAGCAGGAAAGTCCATGAGATCCTTCCCTCTGATTAACCACCAAGAAGCCAGAAGTAGAGCCATGACTCAAGTAGTACAGTGACAATCTTGAGTGGAAATGCCAAAGGACAGTGCCAAGGCCCTGAGTTCAAACCCCAGTACTGGCACACACAGACATACAGAGTCTAACTTATAGATGTAAATTTGCAAATGTAGACATCTACCTGGGCATTTTGCTTGGTTCACAGGCTTAGAAAAGTAGAGGGTTGGCTGGGCACTGGTGGCTCATGCCTGTAATCCTAGCTACTCAGGAGGCTGAGATTTGAAGATGGAAGATCAAAGCTATCCACAGTAGGAAAGTCTGTGAGACTCTTATCTCCAATTAACCACTAGAAAACTGAAAGCTGTGGCTCAAAGTGTTAGAGCACTAGCCTCAAGTAAAAAGAGCTCAGGGACAGTGCCCAGGCTCCAAGATCAAGCTCCACAGCAGGCAAAAAAAGAAAAAGAAAAGTAGAGGGTTATTGGGGTATGGTTCTCTAAAACTCAAGGCCCTGAGTTCAGTCCCTAGCACTGCAAAACAAAGTTAAAAAAAAAAAAAAACCAACCAACAACACAGTACTAAGAGCTGGAATCTTGCAACACTGGGAAGAAGTTGATTTTTCTCATTCCTCCATCTTGATAGCCTGCACTATGTATTCTGGCATCTGTGTCTCTCTGTCTTTGTTATAAAGCACCACCTCCCTTAAGTTCCAGATTCTGTTCTAGATCTTCTACCAAGTAATCTTTAACTTTCACAGCCACCCGAAGTGTGGTGTTTTACAAGTAACAATTCAAAACAGGTCCAGGGGCTAGGAGGCATTGGAGCTTCCTTTCTAATTTATTAATCACTCTACTTTCTTTAATTTATTGCTTCAAAGTAGCTTAGTCACAAGATCTCTTTATAATCACCAAGGGTGAGGGGAAATGATCAGCATATGTCAGAAAAAAAATTGCTGAGCTGAAGCATTTGGTACCCATCTAGTTGGCTGAAAAATGTTTCCCTTCCACATGGTACCTGAGAATGTTTTTAAAAAGCTCATGTATTAGAAAGTGAACTAGAACAAGAAAGTTCACTCCCTAATTTTAGAAATTTTAGATTATCATCTTTTTTATTCTCTGTCTCTAGCTGTCTCTGTCTGTCTCTCTCCTTTCCTGCTCAAGTTTGATGATGCTTTATAGGTTAGGGACTTTATTGCTAAGAAAGGAATATGTTAAAAATCAGATTGAGTTTGCCAGGCATTGGTGACTTAAGCCTGTAATCCTAGCTACTTAGGAGGCTGAGATCTGAGGATCATGGTTTAAAGCTAGCCCAGGCAGGAAAGTCCATGAGACTCTTAGCTCCAAATGAACCACCCCCAAACCGAAACTGGAGTTGTGATTCAAAGTTGTAGAGCACTGGCCTTGAACAAAAGAGCTCAGGGACAGAGCCCAGGCCCTGAGTTCAAACATAACCACACACACACACACACACACACACACACACACACACACACACACACACACACACAAAGTCCCAAGTTTAGGGTTGGGCATATTAGATCCATTGTGCCAACAAGCCACAGAATCCCACTGATTATTGACTACTTTTAATTGTATTTGAGGAGCTCTGATGAGTTACCATTTTGTTGGATGTTTTCCAGTATGACTTTAACAGCGTATTTGCATACTAGTGTTTTTGCTCAGGTTTTGTGCCTGTGGGAAGAGGAGGTTTTGGATTCCATATAATAATAATAGTAATAATAATAATAACAATAATAATTTTTCCTCTTCCTCCTTCTTTTGGTGCTCATACTGGGGCTTGAACGCAGGGCCCAGCACTCTTGCTTGGCTTTTTTGCTCAAGGCTGGCACTCTACCACTTGAGCCACATCTTCACTTCTGGCTTTTTGCTATTTAATTGGAGAGAAGAGCCTCATAAACTTTTCTGCCTAAGTTGGCTTCAAACCAAGATTCTCAGATCTCAGCCTTCTGAGTAGTTAGGATTACAGTCATGAACCATTGGTGCCCAGTCCATTGCACAAAATTCTTTTTGTCGGTCAGAGGGCCTGAACTGTGGGCCTGGGCGCTGTCCTTCAGCTCTTCAGCTCAAGGCTAGCGCTCTACCACGTGAGCCACAGTGCCACTTCCGGCTTTTTTTTTCCTGTTTATGTGGTGCTGAGGAATCAAACCCAGGACCTCATGCATGCAAGGCAAGCACTCTACCACTAAGCCACCTTCCCAGCCCCTGCACAAAATTCTTACAGATAATATTTGCAATAAATGATCACTGCCCAAGATATGGAGTTCCTCCAACAGAAATAAACAACAAACGAACCAAGCCCCACATGTATGCCCGCCCTGAGTTCTTAGAAGCAAAATTACAAACGAGAAAGGTCTCCCATCCTCCCAATTTTCTCCCATTCACTGTAGAAAACCCTAAGGGGTTACACCCAGTTGAGCCATGTACAGACCTCTCCGATTGCACCCCCCGCCGTCTCCTAACTCTGTCAATCATTTCAGAGTACGGAGGAAAGTGGAAAATGCTTCACTACTTTGCTAAGCATTTCTTTGCCCCGCTGTTGCCAGTGGGCTTTGAGGATCAAAATGTGTTTCATGTGTATGGCGTGTCGGATCTTCACACAGACTGTAACGTCACCCTCACTGTAAGTTACTTGGATGCCTTTTTTCTTTTCTGTCTCTAAAATAGAGGAGAACTCAGACTATTTCCTTAGTTGCTCAGTTATATGGCTTTGGCACACATGAAAAAGAAATTCACTTACATCAACGTATTTTGGGGCCTATACTGACATTGGGCTATCTTTGGAGCTAGAATATGTACCGTATTCAGGTTCAATTCTGCTGTTCATTATGGAAACTTGAGCAAAACTCTGAACGTATCTTAGTGACTTAGTTTCCTCAGCTGTACAATGATATCTGCCTGTCTCCTTTTAGGCATCCATGAATAGTGAAGGGAAGATACATATAAAAACAAATTATACATACTATTGTGTGTCATAGAAATATGAGTATAAGTATGAGAAGCCGAGGATAGTCTAAATTTACACAAAGAAATGGTTTAAAAAAATGCTGAAGTTGTAATCAGTAAAACTATTCCAAATAGGAATGTAGAAAAATGAAACAAGTTCAGCTACAAAGAAAAGGTAGAATTCTTATGCTATAGTGTATTTGGAAATCAATACTGAAGATCATGCCTATAGAAAAATCACAATGTGCTTTCTGTAGATTATAAATTTAATTCTCAAAACAGCCGGTGAGGGTCATTCTGTTATTAAATGTGTGCATGTGTGCATGTGTGCGTGTGTGTGCGTGTGTGTGTGTGTGTGTGTGCGCACATGTGCGTATGCGTGCCAATACTGGGGTTTGAACTCAGAGCCTCAGGCTCTAGTTTGACTTTTGCTCAAAGCTGGCCAGTTGAACATCTCCACTTCCAGCTTTTTTTTTTTTTGCTAATAAATTGGAGATAATAATCTCACAGATCTTAAAGATTTCAACCTCTTGAGTAGCGAGGATTACAGGATGAGCCGCAAGCATCTGGTGATTAGTCTAATTTTCACCTAGGAAGAAATGACGATTCACAGGCGTATAACTTAGTGGCCTAGTGAACAGGATTAAAACGAGAGCTTCACCATCTCTTAACCAGTTCTGCTATTCTGACTTTCAATGATTGTCACTACTGTTATCCTCTAAAAGAGATATGGTAGCTGAGAATTTTCATTTTTCATAGTTCATTTGTGTTGTTTTCTTTCTCCTCAGGTGAGAGTCCATTCATGGCAGTCCTTGAAGCCTTTGTGTTCTCTCTCGATGGGACGTCATGTGGTTAAAGCAGGACAGTCTGTGCCCCTTTATAAGGGGCGAGTATCTAAACTGCTGGCGTGCGGGAACTGTACCAGGCAGAGCTGTGTGATTTCCTTCTACCTTTCAACTGACCGGAAACTCTTGAGCCCAACAAATTATCACTTCCTGTCTTCTCTGAAGTCTGCCACCGGGCTCCGCAAGGCTCAAATCACTGTAAGCATCCTTTGTCCCAGGTCCTGGTGGCCGTGTGGGAGCGATCCTGTTCTTGGGCTAGCATGCTGCATCCTGCCAATTGTGAATTTCCCTCCTGATACTGAGTTTAGTGGAGAGTTGAACTAGGCAGGTGCTCTAGCACTTGAGCTATGCCCTTAGTCCTTTTGCTCTTAGTTTGTTGTTCAGATAAGATTACTTTCACCTAACAGGGATCTCAAAGCATGATCCCCCTTATCTCTGACTCCTGATAAGCTGAGATTACAGATGGGTGCCACCATGTCTGGCCTTTTTATTCATTTTATTATTTACTTTATCTGTCATTTGTGGGGCCTGGGCACTGTCCTTGAGCTTTTGTGCTCAAGGCTAGCACTCTACCACTTTGAGCCACAGCACCATTTCTGGTTTTCTGGTGGTTAGTTGGAGATAAGAGCCTCAGGGACTTTTCTACCTAGGCTGGCTTTGAACCTTGACCCTCAGAGCTCAGCCTTCTTCCTTTTCACCCTTCACATGGTAACCGGCAACATTTTTCTAGAAAGTTTCTGTCGTTGGCAAACTTTATATTTGCCTTATGATTTTACTGTCTTGGAGATTTTAAAATTGACCCTTAATCCGTGCATTTTATTCAAAAGAGATTCATTGAGAACATGCTTTCTGTTCTTGTGTGGAAAGAAATCTAAGTTACCTGTAACAACGGAACTAGAGCAGATAGAAAGGAATGACAGAGATTTTTTTTTTCTCTCAGCAAAATAAATAATAACAGATTTTAAAAACTACAGTTACATTCTGGACAAAAGCATTTTTAAAAAAAATTTTCTTACCTGGCAAAAATTGGGAGTCAGCTCAAAGGCTTTCTTTATTTGTCCTGCCACCTTTGTATTTCAATGAGACTGTCCTTCTTAAAGAGAGACAGGAATAGAAATAGTGTCAATTCACATTCATTTGGGAGAATATATAGGCTGGGTACTGGTCATCCAATCCTCCCTGAAACCAGCAGATGAGTGCAGTCACACACAGATAGGAGGTTCCCTATCTGAGGATTACAGCAACAGTGAACAAGGTTTCTGTGTCTCTTCTGGCCTCGGCCTGGAAGCAGCAGCTTCTTGAGTGGCCTCTGGGACTGGCTGGAGTGAGTCATGTGACTCATCTGCCTTTGGCCAGCAGTGGATTGGGGGGTGGGGGATGTCATTTGGGAATTTTGCATCTACCTTCAAGCGTGAGTCTCTGACCCTCTAAGGTTACGTGATCTCTTGTCCTTTCTGCTTCTATCAGTGATTTTCGGTTTATAACCCACACAAGGGTATACACTTGAGTTATATATACTATAAACAATCCTTTGAAATTCTTTATGTGGCATATTACATGGACAAAATGACCCTGCGGCGTGGTGTGTATGTGTGTTGATGGGCCATGTTGCATGACAGATGCACAGCTTCAACAACCAGGTGACACTGGAATCTGGACTTCCTGAGAGGCTCACAAGTTTGTGACAGCTTTTCCTCTCCCTGGGCAAATACTAGTCTGCAAGCTAAGAAGAATGGGTGCAACTTGTCTAAATGGCAATCTCTCTTTTTGCTCAGATTGTACATACAGAATTCACACAGGTTAAAAATGCTGGCAGCTGGGTGCTGGTGACTCACACCTGTAATCCTAGCTACTCAGGAGGCTGGGATCTGAGGATCCAGGTTTGAAGCCACCTTGGGCAGAAAAGTCTATGAGACTCTTATCTCTAGTTAACTAGCAAAAAGCCAGAAGTGAAACTGTGGCTTAAGTGATAGAACATTAGCTTTGAGTGGAAAAACCTAAGGGAGTACATTCAGGTACTGCGTGAATGCCTCAATACTGGTGTGTGTGCACACATGCACATACACACACACACACACACACACACACACACGAATTGTTATGTATCTGAAACTGCATGGAGCACAGGACTTGAGCAGGTGCACACCAAAGCCCTAGGCTCCCACTGATGCCTGCTAGGCATTCTGTATACTCTCTATAGCTCTTCCCTTAGCCTTGATTTCATTTATCTTCTTTTTGTTGTTGATGTTGTTTTCCAGGCCAATATCTCCCAGCAAGGTGACACATTTGTTTTTGATCTGGAAACCTCAGCTGTGGCTCCCTTCGTGTGGTTGGATGTTGGAAGCATCGCTGGGAGGTTTAGTGACAATGGCTTCCTCATGACTGAGAGGACCCGGGCTGTGCGGTTTTACCCCTGGGGACGCACCAGCACGAGTGAACTGAAGCAGTCTTTTCATGTGACCTCCCTGGCAGATATTTCCTGAAGGAGACCAGGTTGGGTTTCCAGTGGGAAATGGGGAATAGAGCCTGAAGAGGCTGGGAGACCCGGCTGCTTTCTACCACCTGTCTGACTGATCACCATGAGTTTGTTTGGGGAGGGCTGTTTTAACATGACACAATTGGTTATAACGACACTGCTTTCAGGGACCACAGGAATGTAACAGGGCAGGTGTGTGGAACCTGAGGTTCTGAGGGAATGTTGATCTTTGATAGTGTTGAGAAATACTGAAGAATCAAAACCAATCCCTTGACTCTGTGTGTGTGTGTGTGTGTGTGTGTGTGTATACTGGAGCTTGAACTCATGGCCTGGACACTGTTGTTGAGCTTTTTGTTTTTCTCAAGGCTGATACTCTACCATTTGAACCACACCTCCACTTCTAGCTGTTTGGTGTTGGAGATAAAAGTCTCATGGACTTTCCTGCTCAGGCTGGCTTTGAACCATGGTCCTCAGATCTCATCTTCCTGAGTAGCTAAGATTATAGATGTGAACCACTGGTGCCTAGCTTTCATTTGCATATAGGAATTTTCTTTTATTGTAAGTCTTATTTGAAACTTACTTAAAAAATTACTGCTTTAATTTTTTAAAATACTATATTTATTAGACTACATTATACTTTTTTTGGTAAAGAGTGTTAGAGTATTTTCCTTTGAAAAGTAAGCTGATATTGAAATGGACCTCACAATGGTCAGTTTGGAATTTTTTAGGTGTCTGACCTTGGGCTTTGTTTGGGCTTCAGGTGTGATAATATCAAATGGGCTTTCCAATCTAGGCTCATTGGCCTTGGGACAAAAGTGAAGTTCCCTTTTGCTTGAGTTTAAATGATTTTTACCCATGTTGATTAAATATAAGTTGCTATAAAATGGTTTTATTATAAATCATCACATTTATAAATATATTCTGATAACAAAGATAATATGGCAGCTAGCTAGTTTGGGTACTGGTATGTGGAATTTTATAAGATTTTTATACTTTTATGTAAGTTTGAAATTATGTAAAAATAAAAGTTTATGAATTCTCCTGGCAACTCAGTGTTTTGTGTTTTTTTTCCCTGTGGTTCATTTAATCATTTTAAAACTATCCTAATACATACCCAATGCTATTCTGGACTTTAATTTCTGCTTTGTAATCGAGAATGCTTAAAGACCCTCAACTAAGATATTTGAGAGTTTTTTCCTCTGGAAAGAATTCATATTTGGTGACAAAATGGACCAGCAATTAATGTTTTGATATAAAACTGGGACTCAATGGTTTTCTTTTAGAAACTAAGATGAGTTAGCGTTGGTAACCCCCAAAAGATTGTTGTATTAATATACAACAATCCAGTTGTCTCTTTCAGTATCTAAGGGTTTCCTCGTTTTACACACACCACACACACACACACACACACACACACACACAGAGCAGACTTTGCTGAGGAGGAGGAGGAGGAGGAAGGAGCACACATTCTCAAGCCGTGGGGGGCGGGGGGCGCTTCGAAGCTGATGGGCCAGACATTCCATAGCAGTTCTGTCCTCCCTGGGTGTACCATTTGAACTTAGGTGCTTAGCTTCAATGTGCACTTTCTTGTGTAAAGTGGAAATAGTAGTATTCACCCTGTTGTTTGTATTGGAATAATTAACCTAATTTAGCTAAAGGTAAGTTTAGCAGGTAGTTGGGAGAACAGATAGAGTCTGGAGAGGTGCATGCCAGTAGCTCATACCTGTAATCTCAGCTACTCCAGAAACTGAGATCTGAGGATTGGAGTTCAAAGTCAGCCCAGGGAAGAAAGTTCATGAGACTCTTATCTCCAATTAACCACCAAAGAAGCTGGAAGTGGAGTTGAGGCTCAAGTGGTAGAGTGCCAGCTTTGAGCAAAAGAGATAAGGGACTGCACCTAGGTCCCAAGTTCAAGCCTTAGTACCAGTACAAACAACAACACCACAAACAATAGGGTCTGGAACAGACATTGTAAATGTTAAGGAAATGGTCATTGTACTTCTTAACATACTAATTAACACCTCACTAGTATATGAAACAAAGTAAAAAAAAAAACAAAGGCAATTTGTTGCAGAAAAAGGCATCAGCCAAAAATAATTTTAAAGAAAAAATAAATATAGGCTGGGAATGTGGCTTAGTGGTAGAGCGCTTGCCTAGCATGCAAGAAACCCTGGGTTTAGTTCCTCAGTACTACATAAACAGAAAAGGCCAGAAGTGGTGCTGTGGCTCCAGTGGTAAAGTGCTAGCCTTGAGCAAAAGAAGCTCAGGGACAATGCCCAGGTTCCGAATTCAAGTCCCAGGACTGGCAAAAGTAAGTAAGTAAGTAAATATATGTTAACACTAACATATAAAAAGGAGAGAAAGGAGCTGTGTATGTGGTATTTCTATAAAACATGGAATAGCCAGACTTTTCCACAAGCCAGATGTGATAAGGTGGCTAGTCACGGATGGCATTTTGATAGATTGATTTTACTACATTTCATGTGATTGAGTCTGATAGACTTATACCTGGGGGGGGGGAGGGTGGGTTCTGGGAAGTGTTTTGTTAGACATTGTGCAAGCAATAGACAGAGTAGAAAGACTAGGATCAGGTCTTGCTGTGCTGCTTTTGCGAAGAGAGCGAGCAGACAGGTCAGTTCCCAGGGTTGTACCTTCCTACTTCAGGACAGAGAGGACAATAAAAATGGTAATTTTCTCATTCACATTCACTATAACTCCTATTCTGTCTTTGTCTCTTACTGGACTTTTTCATTGTGAGACATTTTGGAACCCTGGAAAGTCATTGAGAAAAGAAAACAGCAAGATTGTGTTCTCAGTTGGAATGAAGGTAAACTGGAGGGCAGCAGAACTAAAGATACATTGGCTGAATGTTCCCAAAGCAACAGAGACGGAGACCGAAAGATTATTCTCAGATATGAAATGTAGTCTCAGCTTGGTAAGATTTAGGAAAACAAGCAGGCATTGTTTGTGTAGGAGATTCAAAGCATCTCACAGTAAGTACTTCCCAGAATCTGGACTGGGTAAAATCTTATCAACTTGATTCCACAGGAAATTGAAAAGGACTGTGCAGAAAAGGTGATGGAAAATCCTTAGTTTTTAATTAATTAGAGTGAGGCAGAAACCCTTAATACCCAAGACAAAATGAGTGTTAATATGCATTTATTCATTCATTCATTCATTCATGGGACTTGAACTCAGGGCCTGGGGTCCTGAGCAATTTTGCTTGAGTCTAGTGCCTTACCACTTGGAGCCACAGCACCACTTCTGGTGATTAATTGGGGATAAGAGTCCCACTAACTGTCCTTCCTTGCCTGGCTTTTCAACCACGATCCTCAGCTCTCAGCCTCCTGAGTACTTAGGCTTACAGGTATGAGCCACGGATGTTGGGCTTAATATGCATTTATATTCTGATCCAAAAAGCTGTGTGAGAATTTGTTCATTTCTTTATCAAACATTTGAAGTGGGTTGCTCTGTCCACATTATTCTGTTGCAGGGTTTTGGCAGTGGGAAAGGCAGATGAGTCTCTGTTTCCCAGGACCCAAACAATGAGCAGGTAAAGCAAGAACGGGCTCCGGGCTCGTTAAGCACTTTAGAAAAGTCATTTTGGGGGCTGGGAAGTTGGCTCAGTGGTAGAGCGCTTGCCTCGCATGCAAGAGGCCCTGGGTTTGATTCCTTAGCACCATATAAGCAGAAAAAAGCTGGAAGTGGAGCTGTGGCTTAAGTGGTAGAGCGCTAGCCTTGAGCTGAAGAGCTGAGGGACAGAGCCCAGGCCCAGAGTTCAGACCCTACGACCGGACCCCCCCCCAAAAAAAAAAGAAAAGTAATTTTGGAAAGCATATTACAGAAGATTTTAAAAAATGGCAGAAAAAAATACAGTGGGTGCTGGTGGCTGACACTTGTAATTCTAGCTACTCACGGGGCTGAGGACTGAGGATTGTGGTTCAAAGCCAGCCCCAGCAGGAAAGTCCACGAGACTCTTAATCTCCAATTAAACACCAGAAAACAGGAAGTGGTGCTCTGGCTGAGAGTGGTAGAGTGCTAGCCTTCAACAAAACAGCTCAGGGGCAATGCCCAGGCTGCAAGTTCAAGCTCCATGACTGAACAGAGAGAGAGAGAGAGAGGAGGAGAGAGAGAGAGAGAAAGAGAGAGAGAGAGGGAGAGGGAGAGGGAGAGGGGAGAGGAGAGAGGAGAGATGGGAAAGGAAGGAAGGAAGGAAGGAAGGAAGGAAGGAAGAAAAAGAAAAGGAAAGGAAAGATAAAAAAAATCAGTTGAGTTAGTCTTTAAAGGTTCTCAGTGCAATTCATACTCAGGGAAGGAAGAGCAGAGGATCTGCTGGTCAGCTGGGCTGGGCTCTGACCCACCCTGCCAAGATGTCTTAAAGCCCTCGAAGAGGAGCCAGACAGTTTGTGGGCTTTGCAGAAGGAACAAGTGCATGGCATCCCGGCTTCGTGTTTTATAAATATCTCTCGTGACATCTGCAGACAGGGCTGTTAAATCCTCCCTGACAGAAAACATCGCCAACACAAGGCAGCTTCACCCCTTTGCTCCTCAGAGAAGATTTATGGAGCCCTGTGTGCCACATCACAAGATGAGACAAGCAAGTATTTACCACGGAGTGTGAGCAAGACTATGTTCCCTGGAATTCTCAGGAAATGGGATGTTCTGGACCACGGACCTTTCTTTTGGCAGTACTGGGATTTGAACTCAGGGCTTTGTGCTTGCTGAGCAGGTGTCTTTGCCACTTGAAGAACACCGCCAGCCCTGATCATGTACATTTCCATATGAGAATTAGTACTCATTTCTACCTGGTAAAATATTTGGGAATACCTTTTGATTCTGCTATTGTTATTGATTATAACTTTTGATTATAACATTTTATTGGGTTCTGGGAGACAAGCCACACGGCGTCAGGAGTTGGAGCAGACACTATTGGTGGAAAACCCCATGTCCAGAGTCTTCTCTGCTCCCAGAGAAGAATTTGGTATTCGAATCCTGTTGCCCTGTGTCAGAGACTGCTAGAGGCTTTAGGAAGGTGACACAATTCTGAAAAACGAAATCCAAGTTGACAAAGACATGTAGATTTTCCTGCCTGCTAAGAGAGATACCTGACGTGAACTACTAAATGACTCCCAACCTTTTATTGTTTGGAATAGTTGAGAAACAAGTTTGAAAAAAACAAAACAAAACAAAACCTGATACTTGGAGCTGCAGCAACCTTTCTGTGACCTTGAAGAATTAAAAAAAAAGGTTGACAAATAGAGATGTCAGACATATCAAACAATCTTCTTATAATGTGACTTTTTTGTTGTTGTTGTTGGTTGTGGGGCTTGAACTCTGGG